GCGACAGTTCTGCAGAAAAGGACCTGGCGTTACAGTGGACGAGAAGCTGGATATGAGTCAACAGTGTGCCCTTGGTGCCAAGAAGGTTAACAGCATATTGGGCTGTCTTAGTAAGAGCATTGCCAGCAGATCGAGGGACGAAATCATTCCCCTCTATTTGGCACTGGTGAGGCCACATCTGGAGTATTGCATCCAGTTTTGGGCCCCCCACTACAGAAATGATGTGGTCAGATTGGAGAGAGTCTAGCGCAAGACAAAGAAAATGATTAGGGGTTTGGTGCACATGACTTATGAGGAGAGGGTGAAGGAACTGGGCTTATTTAGGCGGCAGGATTTCGGGGGCGGCATTTTGCCGCCCTCGGCAGAAATTCGGCGGCGGGGGTCCTTCCTCTCCGGATCTTCGGTGGAAATTCGGCGGCAGGTCCTTCACTTTCTCCGGGACCTGCCGCCGAAGTGCCCCAAAGACGTGGAGTGGAAGGACCCCCGCCGCCGAAGACCCCAGGCCCCCTGAATGTTCAGAGGAGGAGCGCTGCCGCCTAGGGCGGCAAAAACCCTGGCGCCACTCCTGGGTGTAGAGAAAATAAATAAGGAGTTATTTACTCATTCGCATAACAAAAGAAATAGGGGGCACCAAGTGAAATTAATAGGCAGCAGATCTAAAACAAACAAAAGGAAGTATTTCTTCATACAATACACAGTCAACCTGTGGAACTCCTTGCCGGAGGATGTTGTGAAGGGCATGACTATAACAGGGTTAAAAAAATACTAGATAAATTCAGGGAGGATAGGGCCATCAATGGCTATTATCCAGGATGTGCAGGGATGGTATCCCTAGCCTCTGTTTGCCAGAAGCTGGAAATAGGTGAGAACACATTTATCACCTGATAATTGCCTGTTCTGTTCATTCCCTCTGGGGCACCTGCCATTGGCCACTGTTGGAAGACAAGACACTGGAATAGATGGACCTTTGGTCTGACCTAGTATGGTCATTCTTATGTTCTTAATTATCCCACTCTTTGAGCTGGAAACAACACACCATCTATGCTACGTGCTTATCACCAAGGAGGTCTGATTGGACACCTCAGTCCCTTCCCTTCAGGTGCTTGTGACCAGAGCTATACAGTCACCCCCAGCCTACTTAAAACATTAGGTTTATTAGCAAATATCTTCCTGTTATTTTAAAACCATTTTCTCCAATACTTTGTGCTGTCACACATCTACACTCATCCATGGCTATGCCCTTGCTTCAGACCCACCCTAGTTTCCCTCTATTTCTGAAAGCATATTCCCATCTGTTTGCCCCTTTCTTCTGGAAGCAGCCTCTGGGAGCTCAAACATGTGTGAGCCTTGGCCCAGTTACCATAGTGCTCAACCCTGGTCGGCCGAGGTGCCCTCAGGCTACTTTCTCCCAGTAAGACTTTCTAAGATGAGGCCTCCGTGGCCATTGCTCCATTGCTTCTCAGTTAGACCCATTCAGCCTCAATGTCTGCAAACACCGGTCTGGTGACTGTGCTGAAACACGGCGACCCAATGAAACTCCAACACTCTCCTCAGAAATCCACTACCTACCCCTCACTGTCTTCCCCGAGCACCCTCACATCTGCCACAGACACCAAGGTGCTGGAGTCTCAGGGCTTCCCAGAAGCAGCTGTCACAGGAGGCTGTGGTAAATGACCTTTTATAGACTAATGTCTGAAGTGTTGATTTTCTGTGGAACCCTGACATAGTCCTGATCTTAGGGTCTCAGAGTATCTGAGCACCTTGAATATATTTATCCTTCTGCCACCTCTGTGAAACAGGGCAGGACTATTATCTACGTGTGCAGAGGCTCAGAGACAGCCAATTACTTGTCCATGGTCATGCACCGCAAGGGAATAAAACTGAGCTCTCTTGACTCACAAAGCAGGGCCCAGACCACAGGCCCAGCCTTCCAGCCATCTGAGCGGTGACAGGCCTGGCTGGATTCTCTGCTGTGCCAGCAGAGCTCCCTTCTGTGTTCCAGAGACAGCGCTCCAAGCACGTGCCTGGGGCGGCAAGCCGTGGGGGGTGCCCTGCCTTCCCTGAGAGGGCGGCAGTCAGGCAGCCTTTGGCGGCATGCCTGCGGGAGGTCCCCAGTCCCGCGGATTCTGCGGCATGCCTGCTGGAGGTCCGCCGGTCCCGTGGATTCGGCAGGTACGCCAAAGCCGCGGGACTGGTGGACCTCCTGCAGGAATGCCGCCGAATCCGCGGGACTGGGGACTTCCTGCAGGCATGCCGCAGAAGACAGCCTGCCTTCCGTGCTTGGGGCAGCAAAAAAGCTAGAGCCGCCCCTCGTCCAGAGAGCAGGGATTGCAAGGAGCCTGCTATAGTGGTTTGATTCACTTGCCTGTTCTCCCCATGCCTCAGTGGAGCTTAGAGCAGCCTAGGGGCTGGGCTGACCTGTGCCTGTTGGTAACGGATTCCAAGAGCACATCACACTCTGGTGAAGTCCCTGCTGACAGGTGCCACCCCAGACTGTTCCCTGGGGGTCTAAGGTAGCCCTGCAGGCACCCTGCGCTTTCTTCTAAGGTCCTTGCAATGACTTACTCTCAGCCTGGAGTATTAAAATCCAGGAGTACTAAAATACTAAAACTGAATTAATGTGACCCCACAATCCCCCTTTGTGGGGTCACATTAATTCAGTTTTTTCCAAAACACAGGCTCCCCAACCCTCCAGCCCCATCCTCCTTCTTTACTCAGGAGCCCCCCACCGACCTTCTTGCTGGGGTCACTGCTGCTTCAGGCTTGCCACACCACCTTCTCCTCATTTTCCCAGGAGGCCCCGCCCCTGACCCATCTCTTCCAAGTAGGCCCTTCCCCCTGCTCCTCCACTTCTCCCAAGGCTCCGCCCCCCAGACAGGCTGAAACCGGGCTGTGGTAAGAGCTACCCCGGGAGACCAGGCTGCTGTGGGAGCCCCAGACTCTCCACCTTCCCCTGGAGCATGCATCCTGGGGTAGGGACACAGGCTGGGGGCTTCTCTGGTGCTCTGCAATCCCCTGTCTAGGGCAGGTGGAAGGTCTGGGGCTCCTCACAGTGTCTCTTGCTCCCTTGCACCTCTTACCATGTGCGGCTCTAGCTTCTGGCCTGGAGAGAGAGTGGAGCCTCGGGTAATGAGAAGGCACAGGGGTGTGGTATTGGGGGAAGAGATGGGGCAGAGGGTGCAGCCTCAGGGGAAGAGGAGGAGCAGAGCGTGGGACCTCAAGGGGGAAGAAGAGGAGCAGGGGTGGGGTCACAGAGAGGACAGGGATCCTGCATGTGTCACACTTTAGCCTTTTGAAAAGCGGTCACCCTACACTGAATGGGCTGGGCTGGGATAGGAGCTCTCTGTGCCTCTGTGGGGGAGTTGAGGACCATCTCCACCCTTTTTAAAACATCTGGGGCAGCACAATGAAGGAGAGGAGGAGAGAATCTTGCCCTGAGACTCTTGCCAGTTCTCCTGTGTGTCAGACCCTGTCATAAATGTAATGGAAAGGGTAACCACCTTTCTGTATACAGTACTATAAAATCCCTCCTCGCCAGAGGCACAAAATCCTTTTACCTGTAAAGGGTTAAGAAGCTCAGGTAACCTAGCTGGCACCTGACCAAAAGGACCAATATGGGGACAAGATACTTTCAAATCTGGGGAGGGGGGAAAGGCTTTGTTTTGTCTGTTCTTTGTCTGTTTGTTCTGTGTGCCTGCTGGAGACAGATCAAGAAGGCAAGCAATCCAACTCAATTAAAATTAGTAAGTAATAATAAGGAAATGTGATAGCTTACTTTTATTTTGGCTTGTAATTTTCCTTGTCTAGAGGGAGGTTTATCCCTGGATTTTTAACTTTAAGGTTTTGCCTAGAGAGGAGATCCTCTATGTTCTTAAGTCTTTTGTTCTTCTGTAAAGTACTTACCATCCCGATTTTACAGGGGTAATTCTTTTACCTTTACTTTAATTAAAATTCTTCTTTTAACAACCTAATTGTTTTTTTTTCTTCATCGTTTTAAGATCCAAGGGTTTGGGTCGGTGTTCACCTGTACCAATTGGTGAGGATATTATTCTCAAGCCTTCCCATAAAAAGGGGTGTAGGGGCTTGGGGGATATTTGGGGAAGGTAGGGCTCCAAGTAGCCCTCCCTAAATGTTTGTTTAAATTACTTGGTGGTGGCAGCATTACTTAATCCAAGGAATAGGGGAGTTTTTAAGCTGATTTGGTAAAAATAAGCTTAGGGGGTCTTCGTGTGGGTCCCCACGTCTGTACCCTAAAGTTCAGAGTGGGGAGGGAACCGTAACAGACCCTCACTCAGACATGCAGCATTCCTATGTTTAGGTGGGGAGTGGGCTCAGCAGGTATGTGGTGTACACAGCTATCAATGGGGCTCCCTGAATGGCTTCTCCAAGGGATCCAATGTTAATCATATCTCTGACATGACGCTGTCACAAGTACGTGGCTGAGGGAGTAGGGGAAGGGTGGGTGTCCATGCCAATTGAATACTCCTGTCCACAGCTGGTGCAGTTCTCATAAATCACAGAGCACCCAGAGTACTCAGGAAGGGCGTGGGGTGTGACTGCAGAACAACTAGGGGGAGGGATAGCTCAGTGGTTTGAGCATTGGCCTGATAAACCCAGGGTTGTGAATTTAATCCTTGAGGGAGGGCATTTAGGGATCTAGGGCAAAATCAGTACTTGGTCCTGCTAGTGAAGGTGGGGGGCTGGACTCAATGACCTTTCAGGGTCCCTTCCAGCTCTATGAGATATTTATATCTCCATACATTTCATTTTTATTTAGTTTTCTTCACAGCCTGTGGATGTTTAGCTAGAGAGGGGGCAGTGACAGGCCAGGTGTAATGGGAAACATCATCCAACCCCCTTCATTTTATTTATGCATCTGATGAAGCGGGTTTTAGCCCACGGAAGCTTATGCCCAAATACATTTGTTAGTCTCTAAGATGCCACAAAGACTCCTCGTTGTCTTTGCTGATACAGATTAAGATGGCTACCACTCTAAAACCGTTTACTTTATTGACTGTATCAAAAGGAATACTGAGGTCGGAGCAGCCACTGAAGTGGCAATTTATGGGCCAACATTCCACCGGTCCCCCAGCTCTCCATGAACACAGTCACTTTGTAAATGCTGCTGCCTGCTTTGGTCTTCTTCCCGCAGTTCGCTGTCCTCTCTCACCAGCCCATCTTCCATTGCTCCAGGCCTTAGACCCCAACTGAACCTCTCTCTACACAGTGCAGATCAGTAGCTCATGTCATCTCAGTTGTAAGGTCCAGGATGGAATAGATGGCCCGTGTTTTTCGGCTACCACATCACCAGTGTTGCAGCCAGTGATGAATTGACCCTTCACTTGATGAACACTCTGATTATCCTCGCACGAAGGTGTTTGCTCTTCACACTGTACACAATTGGGTTCATCAGGGGTGGAACCAGCAGGTAGATGTAGCCCAGGAGAATCTGAAGCAAGGGAGGAGAGCCCTTCCCGAATCTGTGTATCACAGACAGGCCGATCATTGGCGTGTAGAAGAGGAGGACTGCGCAGAGGTGGGAGACGCAGGTGTTCAGGGCCCTGACATACTCCGCAGTGGATGCGATGCTCAGCACTGTTTTGAGGATCATCACATAAGAGAGGAATATGACCAGTGAGTCCAACCCCACCGTTAAGAGTGTAGTAAACAAGCCATAGATGCTGTTGATTGAGATATCTGAACAAGCCATCTTCATGACGTCCTGGTGCACGCAGTAGGAATGGGACAGGACATTGGCTCGACAGTACCTGAACCGTTTCAGGAGAAGGGGGAGTGGGAGTATTATGGCCACCCCTCTTAGCACAAACACCAGTCCCATCTTGGCTATTCTCGGCAAGGTTAAGATGGAGGCATATCTCAGAGGGTCACGGATTGCAAGAAAACGGTCAAAGGCCATCAACAAGAGCATGGAGGATTCAATGCATTGAAGTGAGTGGATGAAGAACAGCTGGGCAAAACAGGCATCGAGGCTGATCTCCCTAGAATTAAACCAGAATATGCCCAGTGTCGTCGGTATTGTGACTATCGATATGCCAAGGTCTGTGATGGCCAACATGGAAAGGAAAATGTACATGGGCTCATGGAGGCTTGGATCTGTTTTTATAATGAACAGAATGACTGAATTTCCTACTATCGAAATAACATACATTAGGCAGAAGGGGATAGAAATCCAGGGATGGATGTCTTCCTGCCCAGGTATCCCGGTGAGAAGGAACGCTTTGAATTTGGTATCATTGACAGCTGACATAATGTAATGGACAGGTCTGAGGAATTTTGAACTTTATTTCCTGAAACGGAAAAGAACAAGAGACTCGATGATATTTAATGAGACACGTTTCTGCTCTCAGTGCAAGTCTAGAGACTCCCAGGATATCAAGGAATATCAGCAAAAACATACTCTTGGATTTAAACCGCTAATAGTAAGATATGCACTGCCAGACTGGATCAGACCTGTAGTCCATCTAGCCCAGTATCCAGTGGCCAGTTCCAGATGCTTCAGAGGAAGGTGGAAGAAGCCCTGCAATAGGCAGATATGAGATATCTGCTCCCAGGGAAAGTTTCCCCCTTATTCCCATTAATCAGACACATTTTGTGATAGAAATCAGGAAGGTTTAGAGCCCTTCCAAGACTTTTGAAAACTACCCTGACAATTGTAATTGAATATTATGGTTACCCATACTAATATCCAGTCCTAAGCTCTTGGCCCCATTGATATCTTCTGGTTGGGAGTTCCACAGCCCATTTGAACACTGTATGATTTTACAATTGTGACTTTACCAAAGACACCCTTTCTGGCTCTCCTCTTCTGAGTGTTTCCCACTGTATCATGACATGTGTATAAACACATGGAAAGTGCATGGGGGAAATGGTCATTGTACTTATCTGTTCTGCCACTACCTCTTTCCAGCACATGGAATAAATTCTTGCGGATAGGTTCTTAATTCAATAACATTGACTTCAACTGCATCACTCCAGATGTACATGGTAAATTCGATCAGAACCAGGATCTATTAACTTTTCCTTACCAAATGCTCACCCGGATACACTTTGATCCCCAAGAATCCCACCAAGAGGAGATGAAATGCTTTGCCTGGCCAATGTTGATGGAATCCAGATATTCCGATTGTCCTACAGCCTTCTCTTCATCCTCACAGGACCTGCATCTTGTCCCCAGGCAAGGGTCTGTAGATACATGACAAGTTACAAGCTAACACAGACAGTTAATTCAGCTGATCAAGTGCGGGTGAATGGGCATAAATGGGTGAATGGGCATAAATGGATGTAAATTACATACAACCACTTTACACTCCCCTTCCCTGCTCCTCATCTCTACTCTGCTGCAAGAGAAACCAGTGGTTCTGTCCTCGCATGACTTTTTGGAAGGTCTTGCATGGGTATTTCAGAGTAATTGTGTTCATGGCCCTGACTGTCAGTTTTAGACACAGTTTTTGGTCAGTTACCAGGAGACAGTATCATACAACTGTTCACTGAATGAAGAGTTAATAGCACAAACCCATTGCTAAGAGTATGTGGAGCACTTCTGAAATAATTACTAAAGCAAAAGCCATTACGTAGTAACATTACCACTACTCCTCCCTTTAGCGATTCCAACAACTCTGCTGCTGGCTTTCTATATACATGAACATCATGAAAGTTTGATTTGTAATATTTGTATTACAAGGAAAAGTTTTGGCATAACTTTTACACGTCTGTACTTTAGTACATACATGTTAACCCAGTCTTTCCCCTCTGATCTGCTTTCAGGGATGATTTTTCAGGTCAGAGTGGGACTTAACATGTAGCATCTGTCACCTGGATTTCTTTAGAACCTGAAAAGATCGCAGCGTCTCACCCTTCATTCAGTCACTTCTCAGCAAACAAAAGTCTAGTAACTCTTCTGTCCCTGGGTTAATAACTGACTGGTTCTCCTCAGGTTCTGTTCTGTCAGTCTGTAGCCTGTATCCGGAATGGTAACAAGCTTTGGGATCAGTATAGAAAATAATCCTTCTGTAAGCTCTCACTCTCTAGTACATAGTGACCCCAGCACCTATGATTCAGGCACGATGAGGGTTTGCAGGAAGTGGATTTCAAGATTTTCATTTCCCACATGCAAGTAGTTTATTGCTCTCTCTCTCTCTCTCTCTCTCTCTCTCTCTCTCTCTCTCTCTGTATTCATAAAATCCTTAGCACCTGGGTACGGCATTGGGACAGACATGCATGTTAAACCCAGTTCTTGGGATGTTTGCTGTGTAACTATACTGGGTTAACTATTGGGATGTTTATGTTTAGGCTATATTATGGCTCTTCTTATTTTAACAGCAGGCTGCTGGAAAATGAGAGGAAGGGAAGAAACATCTGAACAAAAGCCGTCTCTCAGTAAGGACTTCAGGGCTGTTGAGAGACCACACCGGAGCTACAAGCTGAGAAGAGCCTATGTCCAGGCTCCAGCCACGTTACACAGCTTGTTTTGCCAGCGCTGGGAGTCTATTCAGAGGTGAGGCAGCTGTTGCTGAGAAAATATTCAAACTGACAGGCACAGCCACCACTGGGGAAGTCTGAAGGCACTCGGCCTCCCTGGGTGTCCGTCAGAGAGGGAAGGATTGGGGTCAGGTATGTATACAGACTGCTGTTTGTTTGAAAACCCTCTTATTCTCCCATGTTACACTTTATTTCTATTGTTCAGATAAAACAGTATTTTGGTTCCAGAAGGCTGGCTGGTCACTCGTCTCGCCACTAGTCAGACTCCCAGAGGGAAGAACCACAGGTGCTGAACCCAATCAGACCTGCTGGGGAAGCTCAAACGACCTACAGTGTGTTTTAGCCCAGGTCCCAGTCTGAGGGTGGGAGGATCACAGGATTCCACCCCATGACATGAAAGGATACGAGTCCTGACATCTGGCACTTGGAGGCCAGAGATACAGGTAGCCCTGTAATTTTGAGGATTATCTATGGGGCAGAAATGCTGGAACCTTCAGCCAGTCAGGATATAGAAATAGGCCATATCAGACCTTTTACCACAGAGCAATGCAGCTCTGAATTCCTGCCTTCACAATCAAGCCAGAGAATAAAACCTTTGAGAACGCTTTTGCTGATTTAGTTTCCAGGAGCAAATAAACCTGAAGGGATTTGGGAACTAGTCACTAATATTTCATGGGGTTTTCTCTCCCTCAATGCCTGGCAGGATCGGTCCCAGAGCACATGACACTTCTAGAAAAGGGACCCCTGGAGAAATCCTTACTCAGGGATAGGGGTTTAAACACTCTGAGCTCACTTTGAATGTCATATTTCTGTGGAGCTTTCACAACCCACGGTGGAGCATGGGCAGATGTAGGGGAGGGGTTCCCAAGCTACCTAGTGCTCCCTGCCCTCCAGCCCCATCACTGAGTCACCCTGACAGATGACTCCTCTGTCGCTACACAGAATGTCTGCAACTGGAAACAGCTTGCAGCCTTGTAACTTGCCAACGTACCCAGTTCCTGCTAGAAGAGGAGCCGCTGACACCAGAGATCTTCACCCTAAAGGACAAGGAGTCATCAGAGAGGTTGCATGGGCAGCAGGCAGTGTCTGTTCAGACAGGGAGGCAACTGTGTTTATGAAGCATGTCTGCACATTCCCTTGGGGGCCACTTGGCCATCAGGGAACCTCAGCTGCTTGGCTTCATGTGCACCAGCTTTAATCATGTCATGGCCAATGGAAACTGCAGGAGGCCAAATCACAGGGAATGGGTGGTGATCCTGCCCACCTGGACTGCAGCGTCAGCCTGGCTGCAAGCTCTGCTCCTGGAACCCACGCTTGTCATCACTGTTCATGTGGTTCTGATCAGTCACATGGCTACCTCGAGGACAGCCAAGTGGTAATCATGTTGCTGTCACAGATGTGATCCTGAGAATATAAGAACATAAGAATGGCCCTACTGGGTCAGACCAAAGGTCCATCTAGCCCAGTATCCTGTCTTCTGACAGTGGCCTGTGCCAGGTGCCCCAGATGGAATGAACAGAACAGGTAAACATCAAGTGATCTCTCTCCTGTCGCTCATTCCCAGCTTCTGGCAAACAGAGGCTAGGGACACCCTCCCTGCCCATCCTGGTTCATAACCATAGATGTACCTATCCTACATAAATTTATCTAGTTATTTTTTGAACCCTGTTATGGTCTTGGACTTCACAATATCCGCTCGCAAGGAGTCCCACAGGTTGACTGTGCATTGTGTGAAGAAGTACTTCCTTTTGTTTCTTTTAAACCTGCTGCCTATTAATTTCATTTGGTGACCCCTAGTTCTTGTGTTATGAGAAGTAGTAGACAACACTTGCGACATTGGCCAGTGCAGGTACTTCAGAAGGAATTAACAGAACAGGTCAATTATCGAGTGATCCATCCCCTGCGTCTCCTCCCAGATTCTGGCAGTCAGAGGTTTAGGGACACCCTGACCATCTTGGCTAATAACTATTGATGGACCTATCCTCCATGAAGTTATCTAGTTATTTTTTGGACCTGTTATAGTTTTGGATTTCCAAACATTCCTTGTTAATTCCTCAGGGTGACTGTGCATTGTGTGAAAAAGGACTTTCTTTTGTTTTTTAAACATGCTCCCTACTAACTTCACTGGGTGACCCCTGGTTCTTGTGAAGGAGTAAATAACACTTCATTATTCACTTTCTCCACAGCACTCAGGATCTTATAGACCTCTATCATATCCTCCCCATGGTGAGAAGAGCCTCGGGCAGGCTGGCTGGAACCATCTCCCTCCCACCCAGCCGCTCCACGCCTCCTCTCCTGAGACCTCAAACCACCCCATGGGAAAACCTTGTCTCTTCCCACAGATCCTCAGTTGTTTATATGTGCCATGCAGATTCCAGGGCAGCTGAGGAGGTGGTTGTGATGCTACCCCCATCTGATTATGACATAGTTATGATAGATCTTGTACAAAACATGTCTTGTGAGGAAAATTATGTGGAAAATTTCTTCTGTGGAAAAATTATGGTTTGCAGAATATGATGATCCTATTTGTGTGCATGTGTTCTTTTTGTATGTGAAGTTATGAATATTGACTATGTATCTGTATTTCAAATGTAGTTACACTAGGTGAAACCCACTAGGCAAAATGCTTCCAATCTGGACAGGTGATTGTGAAGGGCCTATTCAGGGCAATGGGCCATTATGGAAAACAATAGGCCCTTGAATAAACTTATCCCCCACCTGGTGAGCCTTCCTGAGAACCATCCTGTCATAAATATAAAGGGAAGGGTAACAACCTTCCTGTATACAGTACTATAAAATCCCTCCTGGCCAGGGGCACAAAATCCTTTTATCTGTAAAGGGTTAAAAAGCTCAGGTAACCTAGCTGGCATTTGACCAAAAGGACCAATAAGGGGACAAGATATTTCAAATCGGGGTGGGGGAAGGCTTTGTTTTTGTCTGTCCTTTGTCTGTCTGTTCTGTGGCTTGCTAGAGACATATCAAGAAAGCAAGCAATCCAACTCCATTAGAATTAGTAAATGCTAGCAAAGGAATGTGTTAACTTTTATTTTGGGTTGTGATTTTCTCTGTGCTGAGAGGAAGGTGTATTCCTGGTTTTCTCTTTGTAACTTTAAAGTTGTGCTCAGAGGGAAATCCTCTGTGTTTTGAATCTGATTGCCCTGTGAGATTATCTTCCATTCTAATTTTACAGAGGTGCTTCTTTTACCTTTTTTCTTTCTAATAAATTTCTGGGTTTTTTTAGAATCTGGCTGGTTTTTTCAGTGTCCTAAAAAAAAGCCCAGGTTGGTCTGTGCTCATCTTTTTTATTCTCAATCCTCTCCAGGGAAGGGGGTGTAGAGCTTGGGGGATATTAGGGAGCAGTAGGAACTCCAAGTGGTCGTTTCCCTGAGTTTTGTCTAATCACTTGGTGGTGGCAGCATTACCTAATCCAAGGTACAAGGGAGAATTTGTGCCTTGGGGAGTTTTTAACCTAAGCTGGTAGAAATAAGCTTAGGGGGTCTTTCATGTGGGTCCCCACATCTGTACCCTAGAGTTCATAGTGGGGAGGGAACCCTGACACCTCCGGACAACATATGCATAATGTCTGCTATGATTCAGCAGGGCAGATAAGGGCATGTGACCAGACTACATAACAGTAAACTCCATTTTGGTACCTATATTTTCCTACTATATAAGGTGGGGTGTGTCGTCATCTCTTGG